TGGTGGAAGCTGAAGAAGGAAGAGGATTGTGTGGTTTTCAGGGAGGAGGTGAGACAGGCTCTGGGTGGCCAGGAGGTGCTCCCAAATGACTGGACAACTACAGCTAATGTTATCAGAGAGACAGGTAGGAGAGTACTGGGTGTGTCATCTGGAAGTAAAGGAGATAAGGAGACTTGGTGGTGGAGTGAGGAAGTGTAGGAGTGCATACAGAGAGAGAGGTTAGCTAAGAAGAAGTGGGACACTGAGAGGACTGAAGAGAGTCGACAGGGGTACACGGCGATTCAGCGTAAGGTGAAGGTAGAGGTGGCAAAGGCCAAACAAAGTGCATACGACTTGTATGATAGGTTGGACAGTCAGGAGGGAGAGACTGATTTATACAGGTTAGGGTGATTAAGGACAGAGATGGGAAGGTACTGACAGGTGCCACAAGTGTGATGGGAAGATGGAAAGAGTTCTTTGAAGAGTTGATGAATGAGGAAAATGAGAGAGAACAAAGAGTAGAAGAGGTGACCATTGTGGAGCAGGAAGGAGCAAAGATTAGTGAGGATGAAGTGAGGAGGGCACTGAGGAGGATGAAGAGTGAAGGCAGTTGGTCGTGATGATATACCTGTGGAGGTGTGGAAGTGGAGTTTCTGACTAGGTTTTTCAACAAGGTCTTAGAGAGTGAGAGGAGGCCTGAGGATGGAGGAGGAGTGTGCTGGTGCTGACTTTTAAGAACAAGGGAGACGTGCAGAGTTGTGGCAACTACAGAGGGATAAAGTTAATGAGCCATACAATGAAGCTGTGTGAAAGAGAAGTGGAAGCTAGACTAAGAGCAGAGGTGAGCGTCTGTGAGCAGCAGTGTGGTTTCATGCCAAGAAAAAGTAGTGCAGACGCAGTATTTGCTTTGAGGATGCTGATGGAGACGTACGGAGAAGGTCAGAGGGAAGTGCATATGACAGGGTGCTGAGAGAGGAGCTGAGGTGTTGTATGAGGACGTCTGGAGTGGCAGAGAAGTGTTGGTGGTGCAGGACATGTATGAGAGCTGCAGCACAGTGGTGAGGTGTGCTGTAAGTATGACAGAGGAGTTAAAGGTGGAGGTGGGACTGCATCAAGGATCAGCTCTGAGCCCCTCCTTGTTGCTATGGTGATGGACAGGTTGACAGATGAGGTTAGACAGGAACCTCCATGGACTATGATGTTTGCAGATGACACTGTGACCTGTAGAGAGAGCAGGTGGAGGAACCTCACTGAGGTCACAGTTTATGTCCCTCCTCACTCAGAGTCACTCTGAGAACTGTCCTCCTGTCTGAGAGGACGGCTGGACGAAGTGAGGGAAACACAAAGTACACTAACGTTACACTTCTGGACGTGTCCTGTATGTTCTGAGGGTAACTGGACTTCCTCCAGAGTTCTGGACCACAGACTGATCCAGAATCTGATTCTGCTTCCAGACTGAAGAACTCAACTTTACAGACCTCCTAAATATAAATAATGGACAGGAGAGGAGCTGGAAGAGGACTGACCACCAACAACAAGGATACTAATAATAATAATAATAATAATAATAAAATCAATAATAATAATTATTATTATAACAACAATAATAATAATAATAATAGTAATAATAATGATGATAATAAAGATAATAATGATAATATCAATAATAATAACAATAATAATAAAAATAATAATATAATAATAATAATAATAATAATAAAGGATGTCTTACCACAGAGCATGACAGAGGAGCAGACAGTGTCAGACAACAGAAAACAGTAAAACAACAGAAAAGAATGAAGCTGGGTGGAGGTCAGACTGACTGGTCTTACCCAACAGCTGATGGTGACCTTTGACCCTGGGGTGAGGAGCACAAATAAACCAAAACACAAACAAAAAGAATGTGAATAAAAAGCAGAATGACTTCAGTGCAGCAAATAAACCATGAGACGAGCGATGAATGATGAACAGCTAACAGACGTGACTCCTGGATGACTGCATACCAGATGGCTCTGATGGTGACCTTTAACCCTGGCGTCAGGTCCTGAGGGACGAACTCGCAGTGGCAGCTCTTGTTGTCATCAGCCATGTCTTCTCCCGGCAGGCTGGCCTCTGAAACAACAACGACAACGTCACATGAAATGTGGCGCTACAGCAGCAGATGATGGACAACGCGTCTCCTCTTCCTCCCACGGTACAAACATGAAGCCGAAACATCCTGGATAAGGCCGCCGCCATCATACGCTGAAGACATCATCTGGAGTCAGAGTCTGTGCAGTGGTGATCTCCACAGTATCCAGTTCATGGCCATTTGCTAACGTGAAGGGGGTGTGGCTTATGACCTGTACTGTTGCCAGCCACCAGGGGGCGATCCAGATGTTTCGGCTTCACATTTGGAGAGCTGTCACTGCGTCCATCTTTATTATACAGTCCACAGAGTTCTGCAGGGGTGACGTGTTTCTGTCGTCTGACCCTGAGGGCAGCGTCGCCCTGGTTTCCTCGTCAAACAGCCAATCATATCGTTCTGTTGGATTTCAGATTATTACAGAAAACAAACAAGTGTTTCTGATCCTTCACTGAAGAACACCACTTTATTATTATTGAAGTATAAATTCAATCAGCAGAAGTAGAGAACTAACATCACATGACTGCGGTCACATGACTTAACGTCAGCACCTCAGCGAGGCTGTAAAGTCGTGTTCGGCGTGACAACGTCCTGCAGTCTCGTCTTGTCTCGCTAGAGACACAAAAAGCTTCTAAATTCACAGTGACGTAGAGACAAAGCTGAAAGTCTCTGAGTTTGTTGTAACCACAGAACTTATATCACACATCTGACCTTCAAGATGAGGGAACAGGAAGTGCTAACATGCTAACACGCTAACTCATTTCTGGAGGACTGTGTGGATGAAACATTTATTATGGACGTCCTGATCATGACCGGATAACTCTGGCCCCTAACTAATGAGTTACGTTAGTTAGATAGTTCATTAGTGAGTGAGTGAGTTGACTTTTATTATATTTATATAACTTCAGTAATGACGGAGAACGGGGGGTGTTGGCGGGTGTGTGTTACGCTGTGTTTCCAGTCAAATACCTTACATGTGAGTGTGTGGCACCAAATTATTACAGAATGAACCCAGTGATCAACTGCTGACCCCCGTCCTACAACACTTTCAACACCTTCTCATCCCAAGTCGTCACATCTCGCCGCTTCATCAGCGGACTTTTTCGTCTACGTTTCATGTTCAGGTGTCCTCCTGTGTCTGTTGCTGACAGTCCAGGATGCCGCAACCAACAACAGGATGTATAAAACCGTTAAAGGGTTTTTTGGGGAGTTTTTCCTGATCAGCTGTGAGGGTCATAAGGACAGAGGGATGTCGTATGCTGTAAAGCCCTGTGAGGCAAATTGTGATTTGTGATATTGGGCTTTATAAATAAAATTGATTGATTGATTGATAAAAAAAGCAGGTGGTTAGGTTTAGAAATAAACATCATGGTTTGGCTCGACACTCATACAGGAAATGAACACTGAACCTCAGGGTGAAAGTTCAGGGTTTGTTGGACCCGCCCACCTCCCTCCTTCTCACCCTATACTGTTCAGCTCATTGTAGACACTGTTGGGGTTGACATCACGATGATGTCATGATGACATAACGATGACATCATGTTATCAGCTGGAGGTGCAGCTGCCTCTCCCCCACAGGGCTGTAGGCTCCATAGGAGTGTTAAAATGTGTTTGTCTTGTTGTGTTATTGGGAGCCAGAACAGAAGGAGTCATGGCTCAAAACCAGCCGCCACTGCCCGTCAACAAAAACAAAGACAACTATGGTTAAATGTGATAAGACCAAAGGACTGGACGGAGGCCATCATCAAAAATGCTCACATGTGCAGCGCACACTTCATATCAGGTTAGGGAAAAAGTATTTCCTGTTGTAGGGATGAATAAGGTTATGTGTATTAAGGGTTATCATGTCCACCTCATCAGAAACTGGGGAGGGATTAAGAGGAAGATTGGATTTCTCTGCAACGCTAACTTTTTAGCACATTAGCTAACGTTAGCTTCCATAGCAAAACAAACAAGTGTGGTCCTCCTTTGTAAGATTGGCTTCCTGTGACATCATCCATCCACTGAGTGAGAGCATACGGGTCGGCCAGTCTGGTCCCGTTGGTCAGTGTTTACTTATTCCAGTAACACTGGCGGTCCCGGAGAGTGAGTGACCTGACATGGTGCGTTGGTAAATTCAGTCTGACGCTCTACACTAAAATGAGAGCCCTGTTGGTGGAAGAAACGCAGCGTTATATTTCTACATGAATGAACCAACGGTTCAATGGTCCTCCATCATCTAAAACAAGACAACACAGCTTGTTAGCTGGCGCTAGCTAATGTCTGTGGAGAACTGTTTTGGCTCCAGCTAAGCCCCGCCCACCAACAAACATCATACTCTTCACTAACAGTTAAAGGAGCAGTTCAACCTGATGCTGTCCAGCAGAGTATCACACCGCTGCAACAGGTGCCGCCAAGCCGAGTGGCAGCAAATTATAACACATGAAAGTTTCTGTCCATCCACGTTACAAACTGGTGTGTCATACCGCCGCTAAAGGTGGCTTTCAGCAGCAGGCTGACACTGAAATCACTGACAAAGCGGCAGTATTTGACGACTTTCAAGTGAGAACCAGCTGGCAGTTTAGAGAGAGTCAAAAATACACATGTATGTTCGTACAATGCTTCTGTGTTCAGAGAGGGAGTTGGACCACAGTTCACGAGTTTGAAATGAGTTTGTGGTCCCGCCCCTTCCTCTACGTAGGCAACATGGTGACCAATGAGAGAGAGAAGTTTCCAACGTTCCACTGAACTGTCTGAGAGAAACATCAGTGTCGTACGTCTCAGTATGAACACACTGAAACAGCAGGTACTGAAGTATCTGACTGAAGACACAGCGTCTGTGTGTGTGTGTGTGTGTTACTGTGTTACTTTGTGTTACTGTGTTACTTTGTGTTACTGTGTGTGTGTTACTGTGTGTGTGTGTGTGTTACTGTGTGTGTGTGTTACAGTGTTACTGTGTGTGTTACTGTGTGTGTGTTACTGTGTGTGTGTGTGTGTTACTGTGTGTGTGTTACTGTGTGTGTGTGTGTGTTACTGTGTGTGTGTGTTACAGTGTTACTGTGTGTGTTACTGTGTGTGTGT